AACCTAACACTAACTTGCTTGCCAGCGAGCAGGACAACGTTGTATACGGTTGGTCATGTTTATGGCGAAGAAAAGCTGATTTAGTTCACTCCCAATGGAACGTAATGTTGGAAGAATTACTTAATCAGCGCTACATATTTTGTACAAAATCATACACAATCAAGTTGATTGTTTATTCTTATTAAGTAAGCTTAATTTTCGTGTGCCTAGGTTGGGAAATCGTACTCAAATTACTTTCTATCCGGTTATTGGTAATACTAATTTATTGTCTAGATCTCTGGTAAATATACTAAGTGACATATAAATCTGAACACCCAGTTTAAATGGTTTTATTTTAATAAAATTTTGTATAAGTACTTAATGAAGCATAATAAGTAAATGATAAAAATTTCAAAATGATCGCACTGCTTTAAAGCCCTTTGACCTTTAATAATGTGTGGATGCATCCTGATGTGCTACGCATTCTCCAACGCGCCTAGGCATGCTTCTGATCAGGTGGTCAATGTCCTCCTGTGGTATCTCATTCCAGGCAACCACCAACTCCTCTCGAAGTCCTTCTAGAGTCGGAGGAGGACGTAGCAAATTGAGCAATCTCCTACCCATCATATCTCACACGTGGTCAATTGGGGATAAGTCGGAAGATCTTGGTGGACATGGTAACAATGTGACATCATTATGTTGAAAGAAGTCTATTGTGACTCTTGCAACATGTGGTCGGCATTATCTTGTTGGAAAGTTGGATCTGCCAGGGTGTCAAGATAGGATAAGAGATGGGGTTCTAGAACTTCGTGGATATAACGCTGCGCTTTCATGTAACCTCTGATGAAGATTAAAGGTGACCTGGAACCATAAGCTATAGCACCCCAAACCATAAAGCATCCCACAAACCGGCGCGAAATATTCGCTTTGGCTGCGAAAATTTCGCGGCGATGAATTCGCGATCAGATTAAAACGCGGCGGTTTACGGCCAGGCTCAGACTTGTGCGAAGCGAATGCGATTGTTCCAGCGTTTTTATCGCGGCGTATTTCAGTTCGCCTTTGACCGCGTTTTTGACGCCGTTCTTCAAAAATTCGCAATGGCAAAAACGGAATTATTGATAGAAATAGTGAAAAAGTATCCTTGTTTGTATGATTTGGCGAACGATGAATACAGGGGTGTGAGAAAGAAAGACAAGATTTGGATGGAAATAGGAAAAGGATTAAATACAAATGGTATGTACCTAATATTTTTTATTAACTTGTTAAATAATTTACAGTCTACACAAATGTGAAAACGAACATTCTATATATTGGGCATAGGCATATCAGAATTAAAATAATTTATGAATTTGTCACGAGTAGAAAATGCTAGCCTTGCTGCCCGCCGAGGATCATTTGCTGTATCAGTAAAAGCTCCCAGCACGGGTTCTGGGGGATCTAAGAATTGAAAATATTTGTCATCGCCACTTTTACTTCGTAAAAAATTGTGTAAAACACATGTCGTACGTACAATTAGAATAGTAGTATCTACTTTAGTTTCTAATGGCCTGTAAAATATTCGCCATTTTTGAGACAAAATACCAAACGCATTTTCCACGACCCTTCTAGCTCGACAAAGTCTTACATTGTATTTCTCTTTTTTGACGTCTGTTAAAGTCTGCTTATAAGGAAATGGTCTCATAAGATATGGTTTTAAAGCAAATGCTTCATCACCAATTAAGACGTACGAGCAGATTTCATTTTGCCCAGGGAGAAATCTAGGTGCAGGGACACTCATTAAATTTTGTTCAAATCGTTTTCCCATGTTTGAGGTTTCGAAAATACCCCCATCACTATTTTTTCCGAAACCACCAATATCAACACATATAAATTTATAGTCCGGGCCAACAATGGCTATAAGTACTATTGAATATTTATGTAAATAGCACCAGTAATTGGAGCCACTGTTGTTAGGTCTCTTGATTGTTACATGTTTACCGTCCACGCTGCCAATGCAATTGGGAAATCCCCATCTATTTTCAAATTCTTCAGCACATTTTTTCCATATATTCTCTGTTGGTTCTGGTAAATATATATATGCTCCATATGTCTGCATATCGCTTCACAGACTTCGGTTACGATTGCACTCACTGTTGTAAAACCAACTCGAAAGCTATGCCCAATGGTATAGAAGGTGTCACCAGTGGCAAGGAATCTATAAAAAAAATCGTTTTTAGGCGATGAAGTAAAAAAAAGGTGGAAGAATATCAGAGACACATTTGCAAAATATATAAAATCTACCAAACCAAAGACCGGCCAAGCAGTGGGCAACATAAAAAAATGGCAGTGGGCTGACTACATGGAATTTTTCCGTCCTTTTTTGGCATTTGCCAAAACGTCGTCTAATGTAAAAGATATTGACGTCATATATTATGAGACTGACGAATTTAACTCAAATATATATCAGGAAAGGGCTGGAAATGTAGAAACCGAAAATTTGGAAGACCGCGGCCATGGAGAAGATGAAAATGCTGATGTAACGTAGATGCAGAAGATGCACAGAACGCCTCGGCAACACAGACAGCACCACCTTCTTCATTGAACACTACAGCAGTGACTACTCCAGGGCACACCTTTCCGCAGACTGCAACTACACCAAAATATAAAACGAGCAGAAAACGCTATGAACCACCATCTTCGTCTGTACAACAGCAGTAGATACTGGTGCACTCTGGGCGCCCCCCACCACTTCCACTTTTTGGCCACGCCCACCACATCCACAGCGTGCTCTGATTGGCGGATCAAACGGCGGGAAATTTGAACGGGGTTGATGGTATATGTTGATTGGCGGGAACCGCTAGATCCACCGCGTGCTCTGATTGGTGGATCAGACGGCGGGAAGTTTGAACGGGTTGATGGTATATGTTGATTGGCGGGCCCCGTTAGATGGCGCACCCGACCGGAAGTGATTCAGACAGCCGACGATAGTAAGGTGTAGTATAACGTCTATGCGTAAGCGATGTGACTCATTTCATGTTTTGCGGTAAATATTTGCATATAGATCGATAAAAGCCCATGAATAATGATATTTATAGATGCAATTCTGCTGATTCAGTTTAAATGGAAAAACGTATAAAATTCGCGGGAAACAATGCGTATAGGATGATCTCAATAATCAACACGTCATATTCAGTGTGCATATAAAAATGGAATTGCTCATATATGTGGTGCATACAGTTAATGTTAGTTAATTTTTAACATTGATACAATATTGAAAACATAGTACAGTCTATATTGTGTATCTAATAAATTCAACAAGGCAATCACCTACGTCGCAAATGAGGTTAGGTTCAGGGCAGGTGTTGTCGTAGCGGTGATATGCAAGAAGTACCGGGCGGGGCTGTTAAGCATGGGTGAATGGGCAGGAAGCGCAGGCTGTCAACGAGTTAATACTGACCAACGATAACAGCGGTGACCTTGAAACACTGTGGTCAGTTAAAAAGTGGTGGGGGTAAAATCGAGATTATAAATACCTATGAATCACCGCAAATTATCTTGTCAGTTATCTGCAGCGAACAGACGTGCTCAGTTCAGATTTAGTCGCTAGTTAACGTTTTAGTTTTTAAAAAATGGAAAAATTCTTCATCGTTAAGGATTCCACTAAGAAGATTAAAAAATTTAATCTATATGGGCGAGAAGTGGAATTTAAAATACGACCTATCCCTAAAGACGTCGAACCTGTGGGATGGATCAAAGACGCTCTGGAGGAAATAGTAGCCAAAGGAACTGAACATCTCCAGCCCAGTGATCAAGTTGGATTCACTTTCTGTTCCAAAGACTTTACCCGCGGTCAAGGATGGATAGCTTTTAAATTGTTTTCCGACGTTTCAACTGAGGACATATGGGAGAAGATATCTTCCATCTATCAGTCAAATTCTGTGGGGTTGAATACCGAGACTTTTTGCTTGGGTATTACGTCCGTAAGGTTGCCTGCTGGTCGTGGTAGAGCTCAGAATTTCAATACCTTTGATGAGGAATGCGCCAAAAGAAAAGGCATTATCACCGTTAAAAACACCGATAATTTGTGTCTCCACGAGCCCTTGTCATCGCCATGGCCCATTTGAACAAAGACAAAGATTATAGCAGAATCCGCCGTGATCGAGAAAAAATACAAGGACAAAGAGCTGTACAACTTGTGGAAAAGGCTGATATTGTTATCCCTGAGGAGGGGTGTGGAATACCTGAACTTCAAAAGCTACAACGATATCTGCAAAACTACAAAATTGTTGTATACAAGTTTGGGTGCAAAGGTCGTGACGTCATTTTTGAAGGCGTGTCCGCTGGTCCGACGCTTAACCTAATATATCACGAGGGGCACTACAGCGTCATAACATCCCTCACTGCTGCCTTTTGCTGCAGCTTTTTTTGTGAGAACTGCCACATTCCGTATAATACTAAACAAATTCATAGATGTGATAAACAATGTTATGCTTGTAAAAGATCTCCGGCCTGCCTGAAAACGAAGCACATCAAATGCAAAGAATGTAATAGAAGCTTTTATGGACAAGAATGTTTTAACGCTCATTTACCATCGGTCTGTTCTAAAATTAAAAGATGTGTAGACTGTTTTAAAGTTCACAACGGTAATGATCACTTCTGCGGATATATACTTTGTAAAACATGTTATAAAAATCAACCAATTGAACATATGTGCTATATACAGCCTGACAGAAGTATTCCTAAAACAAATGATGTCTTATTAATATTTTACGATTTGGAAACCCGTCAGGAGAAGGAATTACCCAATGGATCTTTACTGCATGAGCCAAATCTATGTGTATTCAAACAATGTTGTGAATCATGTACCGATAATCCTATATGCAAGAAATGTGGCCTTCGAATACAGATTCTTCGATGTCAAGACGTCATTTCTCCATTTATGCATCATATTCTGACACTTCGTAAAAAATTCAAGAAAGTCATTGTACTGGCGCATAATGGTGGAGGATTTGATCATCAGTTTCTACTTCGTTACATTTTAGAGAAGACTAGTCTGTACCCGAATGTAATTATGAGAGGAACAAAATTAATATTGATGGAGGTAGGAAATGTAAAATTTCTGGATTCTCTCAATTATTTTCCTATGCCTCTAACTGCTCTACCCAAGGCGTTTGATTTGAAAGAGCTAAAGAAAGGATACTTTCCACATTTATTCAACACTTTGGCTCATCAGAATTATGTAGGGCCAATTCCAGCGCTCGACTTCTACGATCCCGACCATTTAAAGGAAGACGCTCGGGAAAAATTATTAAAATGGCATGGCGAAAGACAAGCGGAGGGATACGTTTTTGATTTTCAGAAAGAAATCGTTGAATACTGTATCTCCGATGTGGAAATATTGACACAGGCGTGTCTCAAATTTCGAGACCTGATGAAAACCGAAACCACAGTCGATCCCTTCCAGGAAAGCACCACTATTGCATCATGCTGTAACAAAGTCTTTAGACGCAATTTTTTAAAACCTGAGACGATCGGGGTAATTCCAAAAGGGGGCTATAGATGGCGTGAAAATCAGTCAAAAATTGCCATCCAATGGCTGTTGTGGGAGGAACATCAAAGAGGAATCAAAATTCAACACGCCGCTAAGGGTATAGAAACCATTGTTAAGGGACATAAAGTAGACGGTTTTTGTAGCGACACAAATCAAGTGTTTGAATTCCAAGGATGCTATTTTCACGGTTGCCCTCGATGTTTCAAATACAAAAGAAGCAATCCTCTGCATAATGATCCGTTGAATACATTGGAAAGTCGATACGAACAATCAGTTAGCAAAGTAGAGAGACTCCGAAGCCTTGGACTAGAAGTAATTGAGATATGGGAATGTCAATTTCGAGGAATGCTAAACGATGAAATTAGAGCCTTCACAGAAGCACATCCATTGATAATCAATTTACCGATTACCCCAGAGACGCTCTCTACGGGGGACGTACAGAAAATATCGTTGAATACTACAAGATCAAAACAAATGAATGCATAAAATATGTCGATATATGTTCCCTGTACCCCTTCATCTGTAAATATGGAAAATTTCCGGTGGGTCATCCAAAAAAAATTTACGTAGGTGAAGAATGTGTTACAGCCTCTCTGTCGCAGATGTCAGGACTTATTAAATGCCAGATTCTACCGAACCAGAACTTATATCACCCCCGTTTTACCGTCAAAAATGAACAACAAATTGATGTTTGTTAACTGTCAAAAATGTGGTGAAGATTTCGTTCGAGAAGAGTGTCAGCATTCTATTCAAGAAAGAAGCCTAAAAGGAACTTGGTGATAGAAGAGGTGCTCAAAGCTATTGAAAAAGGTTACCAGATTATAGAGACTTACGAAATATGGGAATACGATACAATTCAGCTCAGTAAAGACCAAGAGGGGTTATTTAGCGGAATGATGAACAAGTTTCTACAAATAAAACAACAAGCTTCAGGATGGCCCAAACATGCTTACGGATGAAGAAAAAAACCGTTATATTGATGCATTTTTGGATAGAGAAGACAAAAGCTGGAATTTTCAAAAATTATAGAGAACCCCTGTTTGAGATCGTTAGCTAAACTTATGCTGAATTCCTTTTGGGTAAATTGCTCAAAAAGAAAACCAAAACAAACCTCAATAGTCAGAGACTGTGGTGAATTCTTTGATATGCTGACTAATCCTTCTATCATGTAAATACAGTTCTCCCGGTAAACGAAGAAAACCCTTCTCATAACTTGGGAATTTAGAGAAGAGGCCTATGACGTTTCTTCAACGGTTAACGTTGTATTGGCTTCATATGTCACGGCCCTAGCTAGACTAAAATTATATTCATTCTTGGAGAAAGTCGAAGAAAGGGCAGTTTACGTAGATACAGATTCATGTATTTATATCTCTCGTAAGGGATTAGACGACATATCTACAGGCGACTTCATAGGTGATATGACCGATGAGCTCAATGGGGGTTTCATATCAGAGTTTGTTTCTGGAGGACCTAAGAACTACGCCTACAAATATACTACTTTGTCTGGAGAGGAACAGATCGTATGTAAAGTAAAAGGCATATCACTCAACTACAAGGCATCCCAAGTAGTCAATTTTGAGAAAATAAAAGACATGGTGCTGAAGAAATCTGATCCTGTTTCTGTACTTTCTCGACAGCTACGACGTACAAGAGAGCATGCAGTAGTAACAGTCGAGTTCCTAAGGTATACAAGATAACTTCAATGAAAAAGGAAATTCTATGAAGATCATACCTCTGTACCATTTGGATTTAAGAAAATAAAGTATTGATTTATTAATGTATGTAAATATTTTTTAATAAACATGTAAAATAAAATGTATGCAAATGATTTTTTGTTTTTATTTCCCGCCTAATTGAAAAATATTTTTGCACCCGAAATTGTTCAGCCTTTTTACTCCATATAAAAATATTTAAAAGTATGCATTGTTATTATTAAACGCCTGCAGTAATATACACCAAAAAATTGAGAAGCAGTGTAACCATGTGGAACTTTGTATAATCACAAAAAAACATATCTTGGAAAATAAAAAATAACAGCAGATTCATAAAGCAGTGTAGAGAGGAAACTACGTAAAGTAATCGATTATTACTAATAAAAATAGAGTTTGAATTCCTATTTTTACAATAATAATCATTTTACTATCTTACGTGTTGGGCCACTGCACTGCACGGGTACCAACACTGTACTGCACGGGCACGAAAAATTGAGAAGCATGATAACCATGTAGAACTTCGTATCACTACGTAAATGGTTATTAAAAAAGTAGAAATAAAAACTATATTTTCGATAATAGCTATACTATTTTTTATGAGCACCCAAAAATTGAGAAGCACGATAACCTCATAGACCTTCGAAACAGCACCAGAGACAACCGAAGGCTACAGAAAAAAAACACATACTGAAAAGGCATAACATCTATCAGCGCTGGTATCCGATAATACTGTTCCTTTGACATTCGTGGGGATATGAAAACACATATTTGCTTCCCACCGTTATAACGAAATAATAGTTACTGCAAAAGCAGTTTCACGATAAGACCATACATTAATCTACAAAGTTGATAATAAAACATATGTACTATTAAATGCAGATATTTTTAAAATTTATACAATTAAAAAATCAAAATAATATATTATAAATGGTAGGGGATACAGGGTAAACACCGAAATATACTTAATTTAGAATAGTTACTTATAATCTCCTCAGTTCTTTGGTCAGCCGTATCGACAATTTACCGGTGGGTCCTCTATTTTTGTGCATGTAAAAGGTTAGACTATGGCGCTAGCAAAAAAAACAAAATGCAAAAAAGTAGAGTCACTTAATATTCTTGTTGAAATTACGGATAGAATATGGTAGAAAGTAACAATCAGATATTGTAGAAGCCATGTAATTGTTTAATTGTTGAGGAAAAAGTATTTTTCATACGCTGACCATGTTTATGTCCCGCTTGGTACGCGACCAGATCTTTTCCAAACCTTTGCCGTAGGGTTCATGAGCCTACGACCAAATGTGTCGTCGAAGGGGCATTTTTGGCCAAATTCGGTCGAAACCGATGCTGCGTTCGTACCCTAGAGCCTACGCAACAGTGACTCAAACTAATTTTAATTGATATGCAAAGATCTGGCTAGAATGCTTGAGCTAGTGATTATATGCAATTTATCGGTGACGAGCTTTCCTCTAGCATATCTTGATTTTATTCAAGCGAATCAATGAGAACTAGTGAATAAAATTACCTGCCAGCCATAGTACAAGTTGGTATATCTACACCTTCTCTTACATTTGGCGCCACTAAAATGTTAATCTCCTTGTTTCTAAAAACGATCAAGTACTTATCTGTTCTTCTTATTAATCGGAAGTGATTCTCCGGTGCTATTAAAGAGTTTCCGTTATATCCCACAACGAAATCCGGCTTTATATGTCTGAACTCTGGACCTGTTCCCTCAACTCTTTCAGTACCTGGTGCAATATTTTTGGCCGTTGATCTTTCCTTCGTGAATATTACCCCCCCAATGTCTTCGTTTGAAGATGCACTGTTGCAAAGTGTTACGTTTATATTGTATTAATATTTATGACATTTACTTTTTTAAAATAGTTAAATACTCCGATAAACTGGGAATGTGGGATGAAGCAGAAATGCTTTCTGTAACCCAATTTAGGTATGTTAGCAAGTCTTACGCAAGACAATAATAAAAACAGATAGAATTCGAGGGCGATTCTTGGAAGAAAAATTCATAGTATTCTAAGGCAACACGACCGGAGTGCTATAATTTCAGCATACATTTTAAAGGTTATAGGTCTAATGATAAATAGAAATTGATTTAAAATTTCTAACTTCAATTTTCGTAAAATAGCTGAGATATGCCATCTTGCAGTAGCCTGAAATGAAATACCCGACAGGTTACCCATCACCTGATAGTCTGTGGTTTCTCGCCGCTAGATGACGCTACATACAAACGTCATCTGTCAAACGTTATGTGTATCATTGATAAGTGTGAGTTGTGTCTCTAAGCGCTAGATGGTGTCGATGTCGCACTGGTGTCGTAGAGTGACCCACATACAGGGGTCGATAGAAATTTTTGGGGCCCTACCGACGGGTCGATGACCGACGGTATAACGTCAGATCGAAATAAGCTCCATTCACATGGGAGGTGTGTGTGGAATTGCTCGTGGGAGACACGGACCTTGTCGTATATAGCAAGACGTGTCCTAAAATGGTGATACCCATTGGTCGCTCAGCCATACAGGTCGGTCAGACAGAAGTTTTTGGGACCGGGGTGCTCTGATTGGTGGATCAGACGGCGGGAAATTTGAACGGTGTTGATGGTATAGCTGAATGGTGGACGGCGGGGTCGGGTGCGTGTAATCACCTATGTCGCAAATGAGGTGTAGATAGATAGTCGTTCAGTGAAGGTGTTGTCGTAGCGGTGATATGCAAGAAGTACTGCTCGCGGGGGTGTCAACGAGTTATATTGGCCAACGATAACAGCGGTGACCCTGGAACACTGTTTGTCACACCGGTTGCAAAAGATGACAGGTTATCTCTTAATTTGCGTAAACAACGATTTTCTAAAGTGGTAAAACAGGTCGAAATTTTAAATACCTATGAATCACCGCAAAATTATCTTGTCAGTTATCTGCTGGCGAACAAAACATGCTCAGCTCAGACTTATCTAAAAAGTGGTGGGAAAATCGATATTATAAAAATATTTATGAATCACCGCAAATTCTCTTAGACGTGCTCTTATCAGTTCAGACTTAGTTAAAACTGGTGGGTAAAATCGAGATTATAAATACCTATGAATCACCGCAAATTACCTTGTCAGTTATCTGCAGTGAACAGACGTGCTCAGTTCAGACTTAGCAATTCCCAACGCTCCTCCGTGGCCATTCCCCTTACCCTCTCGCGAGTGCGCGCATGCGCATGCGGCTCGTTCTGGTCTATAGACATATGATCGCTAATGATCTTGAACAAAGATGTCCTGATACCGAACCGCCAGAGGTACATCAGAAGTAATGTTAGTATTGTGTGTGCGTGTTTTTTGAACACGCTAAGTCGTGATGTACATCACGTGACGTACGTCACGTGACCTACGTGACGTGCGTGTGACAGGTGACGTACGTGTGACAGGTGACGTGCGTCACGTGACACGTGACGCACGTGGCACGTGACGTGCGTCACGTGACACTTGACGCACGTGGCGTACGTCACGTGACACGTGACGTGCACACTTTGTTCAAAAATACCAAAAAGCTGTCTTGATAGCCCGAACCGCCAGAGGTACAACATCAGAAGTAATGTTAGTGCGTGGTTGAGGTTCAAAAACTTAGCGTGTTCAAAAAAAAAACGTACCTAGACCAAAAGTCATTCTAGACCAGTCACTCTAGACCAAAGCACGCCGTTTTTCAACGCCTTTTTTGTCACCATTCCCCTTAGTAGCGCGCATGCACATGGGGCTCGTTCTGCTGGTGCTGGTGCTGGCGCGGGCGTAGATAGCGTTTGTGGTAAGGGTTGGGGGTAGGCTTGTTCTCTTCGCGCACGAGTAAGTTGTTTGTTGTGTACATAGGAAGAGTGTATTTACATACATTAATATCAATACTTTATTTTCTTAAATCCAAATGGTACAGAGGTATGATCTTCATAGAATTTCCTTTTCATTGAAGTTATCTTGTATACCTTAGGAAACTCGACTGTTACTACTGCATGCTCTCTTGTACGTCGTAGCTGTCGAGAAAGTACAGAAACAGGATCAGATTTCTTCAGCACCATGTCTTTTATTTTCTCAAAATTGACTACTTGGGATGCCTTGTAGTTGAGTGATATGCCTTTTACTTTACATACGATCTGTTCCTCTCCAGACAAAGTAGTATATTTGTAGGCGTAGTTCTTAGGTCCTCCAGAAACAAACTCTGATATGAAACCCCATTGAGCTCATCGGTCATAATCACCTATGAAGTCGCCTGTAGATATGTCGTTTAATCCCTTACGAGAGATATAAATACATGAATCTGTATCTACGTAACTGCCCTTTCTTCCACTTTCTCCAAGAATGAATATATTTTAGTCTAGCTAGGGCCGTGACATATGAGCCAATACAACGTTAACCGTTGAAGAAACGTCATAGGCCTCTTCTCTAAATTCCCAAGTTATGAGAAGGTTTCTTCTTCCTTACCGGGAGAACTGTATTTACATGAGATAGAAGGATAGTCAGCATATCAAAGAATCACCACAGTCTCTGACTATTGAGGTTTTGTTTTGGTTTTCTTTTTGAGCAAATTTACCCCAAAAGGAATTCAGCATAAGTTTAGCTAACGATCTCAAACAGGGGTTCCTCTATAATTTTTGAAAATTCCAGCTTTAGTCTTCTCTATCCAAAAATGCATCAATATAACGGTTTTTTCTTCATCCGTTAAGCAATGTTTGGGCCATCCTGAACCTTGTTGTTTTATTAGAAACTTGTTCATCATTCCGCTAAATAACCCCTCTGGTCTTTACTGAGCTGAATTGTATCGTATTCCCATATTCGTAGTCTCTATAATCTGGTAACCTTTTTCAATAGCTTTGAGCACCTCTTCTATCACCCAAGTTCCTTTTAGGCTTCTTTCTTGAATAGAATGCTGACACTCTTCTCGAACGAAATCTTCACCACATTTTTGACAGTTAACAAACATCAATTGTTGTTCATTTTGACGGTAAAA